AGGGCCTCTTGGTGGTGGAAGGATATAGTGTGGGTGCTACAACAAGGGAATTTTTGGTTGGACGAAAAGACTAAACGTTGTATTGGTGATGACACTATGACCCGATTTTGGGAGGATAAGTGGATAGGTGGTTTGCGCTTGTTGGATGTCTTTCCTCGTTTGTACTCCTTTGCCTTGGACCCGTTGTCATTGGTGGCAGATAATGGAACTTGGGAGGGATCTACGTGGGTGTGGCATGTTAATTGGAGAAGAGAACCTTTTGTCCATGAAGGTAGGAGTGTGAATACCTTGTTGGATATGCTTCAGGGCTTGCAGGTTATCTCTTCAAGGCAAGACTATTGGAGATGGATTTATGATAAGGACGGTGTATTCTCGATGAAAAGTGCGTACCTTTGGCTACAACGCTTGGTAGGTGGAGAACTCAGATACTCTTCGGATTTTCAACTAGTTATAAAAAGTCTTTGGAAATGTAAGGCTCCGATCAAGTGCTTGGTGTTTTGTTGGTAGGTGTTATTGAATGTGTTCCCGTGCAAATCATTGTTACAAGTACGTGGTGTGGAGTTGGATAACAATTTCTGTTCTTTTTGCTTTCTATTTGTTGAAGACCCTCTTCATCTCTTTCTAATGTGCCCGATGGCTTTTAATACTTGGTTAGTTGTTGCTAATTGGTTGGAGGTTGTGGTGGTCTTTCCAAATTCTTTAATTTCTCTTTATTTATATTGGACGAATCTTGGTATATATAAAAAACATTCTCACTTTTTGCGGGTGGTTTGGGTTTCTGTTATCTGGTCACTATGGCTTCATCGAAGTGTTATTATCTTTTAGCAAGGTACTACAGATTGCAAGGAAGTGTTGGATAATATTAAATTGCGTTCATGGAAGTGGATTAATAGTTCTGTCCCTGGTTGTTCTTTTAGTTACACAAGTTGGTATTATAACCTGGGTTTGTATTTCTCATAGTTTCTATTCTAGCTTTGATTCTAATTATGTCTCTGTGTCTCTTGTAACGGGTTAGAGTACCCCTTGTACTTCCTTTAATTTAAATTTCTTTTGCTTATAAAAAATAAATAAATAATAATAATAATTATTATTATTATTATTATTTTATTTAATGACATTCTCTTAGTACTTTTTTCTTTTAAAATTGTTTAGCAGTATATATTTATATATCAATAGTAAAAAAAATCCACCATCGAGTGTATGGATTATTAATGTTGAGTATTTTTAACTTAAGTAGTGATTTCAAGTTAAAGTTTTAAATATATAATTATCTTAAATATTTAAAAAGAGATTTGTCACCGATATAACTCCTCTTGACTCAAATAATATTGTTTCATGTAAAAATATATGTAATCTATTTAGTAAAGATTTTACAAATTTAAAATTACGCGTGTTTTAGTTTCTTTATATCCTACGAATATAAATCAGTATTTAGTTATTATCTTTGAAATATTATATCAATCATGTCTATTGAAAATAAAATTAAAAGGTGGAAATGTATATAATTGAAGACTAAATTGTACATTAAAAAATTATTTAATAATGAAAAAATGATTGACTTTAAACTTTTGGAGATTAAATTATAAAATAAATATAATTATTATTTTATGGACGAAATTGTGGGTTAATTCTAATTTAAAAATATAATATAAGGTAAAGAATTTGTGTAATAAATAATTGCATGTCAGAAATCAACATGATATGTAGGTACCAAAGTTTGAATCCTAGAAGAGAAACTTTCACGTTTTTTCATTCAAAAAGCCTTAACCACTTAGGAACTACATGGGTTATATATATACGACTTTAGACTGGTATTTTTGTCTAGTTCAACCTTCAATGAATAATTTAAAAAATGCCGATTATATAAAGAGGACAGACAATATCCGTTAATTAATAAATTGATTTTTAGTAGAACCTATTAGATCAAACTAGTTTAGGTTCATTTTTCACCACCAAGGTAAATTGTTATTTCAAGATTAAGTGCAGCTTTTGTTGAACTTAATTTTAGAAGAATAACTATTATGTTAACAAAATTTTCTCGAAAAATTGATATAGCTAATCATGGGAAAATCAAATTGAGATTTGGTGAATTTTCAGACGATAAAAATGGTGACCGGTGAGAGTTTAATCGAAGATTTACTGATATAATGAAGAGGGTCCAAATCACATGAATCTAAATAATTTTATATTAAATATAAATTTTATAAATTTAATTTTTTAATTAAAAGTTTTTTATTCGTAAATTATATATATAAAATTTTATATTAATTCAAGACAATTTGATATTTTATTTTTATAAAACTAAATTAATATAATATATATTTTAAAATATAATAAAATATAAACATTTTGATTACTTTTAAGTTGTTATTCAATTTTAACAAAATTTGATATAAATATATAAAGTGATATAAAGTTTTAATATAGGGTTAGTCTAGTGGTTAGGTGGGGAGGGGTTGTGATAGTTAGAACCATGAGGACTTGGATTCAATTCTCATTGTGACCATTTTGTAATCTTTCCTATCTTTACCAAAATAAAAATTCAATAGTTAGAGTTACAAAATTCACATTTAATATAAAATTGTTGAACGATGTAATACTTAGTAAAATTTATACCGGTATCGTTTGAACCATCCTCGATATAATCATATTATAATTATAAATGTTTTAACTGATATTTTTATAATAAAATTATGAATTTTATGATAATTATTTTAAGAAATATATTTTAATTTTAATTAATGGATAATATAAAAATTTATATAGTAATAAAAGAGAAAAATTAAACTCTATTATACGTGAAGGGCATGGTGGTAATCGGAAAGGTGAAAGTATGATTACTTTTTAATGCGTATTCATCTTCCTGTGACGTATTTTCGAACTAGCTAGCCACACGTGTGACGTTCATTTCTCACTCTCAAATCCACGTTGACATCTTAACCTTTCTTTTCTAACAATTTGTCACTGTCTCGCGGCGGTTTTTCTTTCTTCAATTACCCAAATTTAAAGCATACATCTATTATCTATATATTAACCCTCCTTCACAACAATATTTATATATAAGTATTTTAATTATTTTCAAGTTGTTATTTAATTTTAATAAATTTGATATAAACATATAAAGTGATATGAAGTTTCAATATAGGGTTAGTCTTGTGGTTAGGTGAAGAAGAGTTGAGATAGTTAGAAACATGAGAACATAGGTTCAATCTCATTACGACCATTTTCGATATAATCATATTATAATTATAAATGTTTTAACCGATATTTCTATAATAAAATTATGAATTTTATGATAATTATTTTAAGAAATATATTTTAATTTTAATCAATGGATAATATAAAAATTTATATAGTAATAAAAGAGAAAAATTAAACTCTATTATATGTGAAGGGCATGGTGGTAATCGGAAAGGTGAAAGTATGATTACTTTTTAATGCGTATTCATCTTCCTGTGACGTATTTTCGAACTAGCTAGCCACACGTGTGACGTTCATTTCTCACTCTCAAATCCACGTTGACATCTTAACCTTTCTTTTCTAACAATTTGTCACTGTCTCGCGGCGGTTTTTCTTTCTTCAATTACCCAAATTTAAAGCATACATCTATTATCTATATATTAACCCTCCTTCACAACAATATTTATATATAAGCTGGGTCAAAACTGATCAACAAAAATAATTCATTTTTTTTTTTCATAAATTAAAATTAACTTATACATAAATTAAAAATATGGTTATAGAAAGTTTCATAAAAATAAATTTATATATAAGTTAATCCTAATTTATTAAAAAATTATTTTTTTCTCTTATTTTTTCCTCTTAAAAATATCTACTATCTACATATAAAGTTATCTGAACATGCCCTTATCCATATACGTATTCAGCGATTCAAACATGATACATATCATTTGATGTGTTTTATGTTGTTTTCTTTTCTGTATTTCTCAGAAAGAAAGGAACAAGGAGGTAACCGCCATAGGGTTTGTGTTAACACAACTAACGAATACTACTAGTTCATACGTATGATACACATAGGTTATTAATAGTTATTAATAATTATTATAAATAAATAAACATAACTACGAACCATATAATTGTGTTTTCCGTGTACAAATGATCAATATAGAAAGAATCTTTTCATCATGGATGACGAGAAGACAAGTGGCGACCCAGTAAACCAGTTGACCCTATTTAACCGCCTTCAAAATGTTAAATATATATTTCGACCAAAAAAATTAAATAATAAAAAAGCATACAATAAATATTCCACCAAATTTGAAGTATTCAAAATCAGTTAACAAGTATGGGTCCTGTTTGATTGTTCTTCTTCATGATGAGCACAAACCATACCAAACTCATGTGGCACAGAGACGTGTTTTGACCATACAATCAGACTCATTCATTCAAAAACATTTTTTTACCTCTTTTGGAAAACAAGCAAATATAGTATATTCTTATGGCACCATTTATAATATTCTGAAATAAATTTCAATTTGTGGCCTTTTTTGTTTCTTGTAATGTGCTGTGTGGAAAAGTACTTAAATTTACTTATCATTGTTTAATAGACAAATATGCAAGTTGCGTTAAGCACTGTACCAATTTACACCTAACTCCATAGTGCTGAAAAATCACCAAATTGTGCAAGGATTTTCATACCAAGTAATTCTGGATTCTCCTGTAACAAATATGAAAATAAATTTATTTTTTTTAATTATATTGTTAATTCAAAGTATTTATTAATTTTGTTGATATCTAATTTCTACTTTTAATGCATACACAAAAAATTTGACTTTTTATGGTGATAGAGTTCAATTCAAACATCATCTTCTCTGTTTCTCTTTCTATCTCTAAAATGACACCGACATACCTCAAGATTTGCAAAATGACTGCAGCAATGTGTTAATTAGTTAGCTACAATTTGCACTTTCTATTCATTTCCTTTAGTCAAACTCAAAGCCAGTTTAGGTGTGAACTTAAATACCAAAATTCTCAGCGGCGATATACTTTAATCTTTTTTATTGTGTATTTTTCAAATACTTTAATCTTCAGAAAATCATAGACAATTTGTGCACCACGAAAATTAAACTAGTTTAAAAAATCGTGTAAAGGTGGTGGTGGTGGTGTGTGTGTTCACGCGCATGGTAGAAGCTAGAGTACACCGCACAAACCAAAGGTTATACACATACTATATACTTTATATTATAGTTTGCACTATTTTAATGGAGGCTGGCTACCTTAATTCCACATGCTTAATTTTGCACCCCTTTATTATATAACCGTTTCATTCTCAATAGCATCTCAAAGGGTGTCCTGAGAAGGAATCACACACAAAAAATTTCAGGTGGGTCTTAGCAATTCAATTTTGATTCAAAAATAGTAAGAATAACCATATATAGTATATAGTTTTCATGTCCTTGCTAACGGTGGCGCACCAAAGGGGTTCAGGCGAGTTTATCCGGTTCACGGCGAATCGTGACGGCGACGATGGTAATAGTGAATATGGTTATGGACATGATGGTGATGGTGGTGACGACAACAATAATAGCGGTGTGTCGGAGTCACTAGGATTGAATTTCAACCAAGTGATGCAACACGGTGGTGTGGCAATGCAAGGTGGTTCTTTGGCTTCAGGGTACAACAGGGGTGATCCAGAGTTTAGAGAAATGGTTTCGGCTTTGACACACGTGGTGTCATCAGGGTCTAGCCAGAGGAACATCGAAAGTGGTTATCCTATGATGTCTGGTTTTGGATATGCATCTTCTCTTTCTCGTTTCTCTTCTTCTTCTTCTCCTTCTCCTTCTTGGGTTGGTCACAAAAGAGGGAGAGAAGAAGCACAAGAGAGTGGCTCATCACATAACTTGATGCAGCAACAACAACAACAACAAAGTGCCACAAGACTCTTCAGAAACGTTGGTGACTTCATGGTGCCTTCTCAAGGAGACTCATCAACAGGTGCAATTACTTCACCATATCACGTCATCAAATTAACCATTAAACATGTTTTGCATATATACAATCATCACAATCACAATTCAGATATCATTTCATTTCATCCTTTTGTCATGTTTTATATCTTAAACAACAAATGAGGTATATATAGCTATATGTATGTATATCATAGTTTGCATTATCTTAAACTTTTTAACCAAGTAATTTTATCTTTTACAAACACACCAACTTGTTGAATAAAACATGCAGCATTAATCTGTATTAAGCATACAATATTCATTACTCACCCTTATTTTCATTGAATTTCCTTTCTTACCATGTAGTACAGAGGAGCATCATTCATGAATCCTATATTGCATGCATAAAATACTTCATTTTTTTTCATTTTTTTTAAATCTAGAAAATTTTCATTTTTCAAAACCATTTAATAAACTGAACATACTGATTACTCACATACTCAAATACCAAAAGGACTATAAAATAGTGCTACAACACCATGGTTGATAATTAACCCATTCAATACACAATGTGATTTTTCTACACACCGGTGCAAATCTTTTGTATGTTTCATCTTACCTCTCACTTAAACCAGTGACAGAAGAACATCCCACCTCTACAACTGCTTCTTCAGTAACCGCCATCATGACAGCAGTTTCTGATACTGCCATGACGACGGTTACTGAATCAGCTTCATCCGGAGGTGGGGAAAGGAGGAGAAAGTACAGAGGAGTGAGGCAGAGGCCATGGGGGAAGTGGGCAGCAGAAATCCGTGATCCACACAAAGCAGCAAGAGTTTGGCTTGGCACATTTGAAACTGAAGAAGCAGCAGCTAGAGCATATGATGAAGCTGCATTGAGGTTCAGAGGCAACAGAGCAAAACTAAACTTCCCTGAAAATGTTAGAGCAGTTCCACCTCTTCAACCTTTTCAAGCCACCACTAGACTAACTGTTTCCGACTCCTCCACCTCCCAATTCCGGCCACTGGCGGCGCCGCCGCCTCCATTCATGCAGCCACCACAGATTCAGGCTTCCCCTGACTTGATCAGAGACTACTTGCAATACTCTCAGCTTCTACAGAGTGACTTTCAACATCAGCAACAACAGCAACAACAACAAGAACAGCAACAACAACGTTCTAACTTGCTTCAGTGGTACTATAATGCACAATTGGCATCACTTCAATCACATTCATTGTTACCATCATCACCTTCATTGTCTTCTAATATGTCACCAACATCATTCCCTTCATTCTCAACATCTACTCAGTTGTCCTCTGCTTCATTTCCCTTGTTTTCAAGTCAACAAATGGGCTATTTACAGCCACCGGAAAACCGCCCTCCCGCCGGCGGCCGGCCAGAGTTTCCGCCGTCAACATGGTCAAATACCAGTGGCCATCCACCACCTTCTGGTTGATACAGTGTCTCCATTTCCTTCATATTTTCCTTTTTTTGTTTTTTCTATTTTTTTTTCTTTCTCTCATACTTAGAGAATGAATAGTGATAAAAGAATTGCTTTTCTTATTTCCTTTTGATGAAACTTCAAACTTAGATGCAAATACTTAGCTGTTCTTAGTGTTATATTTTTCAATCAAAATTAAAATTTCGTGTTGATAATTTGTATATCAAAAATTTACACTAAAGATTAATATAAATTATCAAGATGAAAATCTAATCTGATTGATGATCCATATTAAAAGTATGTAAGAAATTGTATTCAAATTTTACTCTTTCTTCTTTTAAGAATAAAACTTAAATATACTTTGATATTATTTTCCGATAAGAATTAAAATTTTACTTTGAAATACACACACTAACATTTAATGTAAATTTTTAGTATATGAATTATAAGTGGAACTCCATTTATGAGATGATAATAATACCAAAGAAAAACAACTAACTAAATTTATTCAAGTTTGTACCTTTTTTAAATGATGGTTAATTCCCAGAACTTGTAGATTGGGATTTAACTATTGTTTTGTTCCTATTCATGTAAAGAAGATTATATGAGAACAGAAAAGGTGGGAGTGATTGAAGGTTATGGATGATAAAGGATGGTAGGTAAAGACAAAGCAGCATTTAGGTTTAGGGTTTAGGGTTAGTTTATTTCCAATTATGAATGGATTTGATGTAAACATTCTCTCAGTTATCCGTGGAAAGACGTAGAAACCCATAGCTTTTACATACCCTGTCTGCTACCTGCTATACAGCCACGGTTTTTTTTATCAAAATGTTCGTATACTTTAGTTCTTTTTAAATAATATATTTTGTGGAGATTTTGTCATGATGATGATTCTTTATCTTTTGGGTTATTTTGGATGTGTTCATTTATTCCAATCTTAATCAGCAAGAGTAATGTGTTTAATATATTAGTCATGAGCTCATCTTGCACTAAACCTCTGTTTGGTATAAAAAAATAAATAAATAAATAAATTAGAAAGAAGGTTTTTAAATTTGAATTAAAGAGAAAAGGAAAAGAAAGAAAATTTGAATTTTGTTTGTAAAAGTTATTTTTATTTTTAAATCAAACAAAAAATAAGTTTGTATTTGGGTTTTCTTTTCTCTCTTTTGTTAATTTGTTCTGTTTTAAATAGAACATAAGATAACTTTACTTGAATACAATAATGATGAAATTATTCCCAAATTTTAAACAATCTCATCATAATTATTTACTTTTCATTCTTTTTCACCTCACGGCTTTTCATCCTTTCAACAGTTTTTATGCTTTGTGTGAGTCATATATTAAAATTTCATGGAGCTATAACTATTCACTTGGAGATTTTGATGATCAATGTGTTAAATTTGGAGCCATAACAGTTTTTATGCTTTGGTGCATAATCAAGTGTGTTAAATTTATTTCTTAAGGCTATGCAATCTTTATTCTTTAGGCTAGATGTAGGCTAATATTGAATGAAATACTGAGTATGTGCATGTCCTTGTCATTCATTACACATCTTCAACATGTAAAGGCACGAAATTTCTACAATTGGGTTAATGCATATCTCGTTAAGTTTGAATTTTAGAAAAATATACATTACTTTTCAAAAATTCTTTTCCAAAACACTTATTTTAATATAACTAAAGAATAAGTTGATTCAAATCAATAGTAAAAAATTTCCTCTAATGTGATTAGTGAGTTGAGAATTCAAAATTAACTCTACCCATAATTAACTTTGGAGATTTAAATATTCCAAGGTTAACTTCCCAATTATGTTTTCAGTCAAATAAAAACTGAAATAAAATAAAGTTCAAGCTAACTACAATGGGTTGTTATTAACATAGTCTTGAGGTATGAATGTGGTTGTTTGTGTACTGAATTTCTAAGTTGAGAAGTGGATCAGTCAAATCATGTGGATCCTGAAATTGAGAAGATGAAGGACTTTATGCAAGTTTTAAGAATCAACTTGTCCAAATATAGCTTTGAATTGCAATTGGTCTTTGAACTTTATAGTGTAGCTTATATGGTTCAAGGCTTCTTTTTGAACTGATCAAATTTAAACCTACTTTTCAGTGCAGAGAATTGTTTGACAAATGTTGTTATATAACTAGACTGAAAACATAGACTTGAAGTGATAAAGTTATGACTTTTAAGATTAAAAACTACAATATGCATTTGAAATCAAATGCAATAATATATTACCCACTTGAATTGAATTAGTTAGGTGGCTTAGGAATGGCACAGACTCGGTTATTGTTGGAAGTGTGTCTTATTACCTTGTTTCTAATTATAAGTGATATATGATAAATTATTAAAATTTAAAAAATGAAATAGATTATTTTTAATTAATTTTATCATAAATATAATATTTATTCTGAAGATACAATTTACTTTATGTGATTGCTATATTTAATGTCAATATTCGTAATTCAATGAATTGCTAGAATAAGAAATAAGGTATAATTAATGAATAGTAAATACATATGAAATATAGTTAACAATAAAGGTATAAAAGAAATTTTTTCTTGAATAATTTTAAAATTGTTACTTATAACTAGTAAAAAAAATTAATTAGCATATGAGTTAATATTAATTTACAAGTGCTCGATGTAATTGTTTTAAGCAGAATTTAATTGCACAGGTTAAGTCTATAGGTAGTGGAGTTCCTTTTATATAATTTTAAGCACATAGTAATATTAAGGATAAATTAATTTTTTTTATTTAATATTTAATATGTGATTTTAGTCCTTCATATTATAATTTTACAATTTTAGTTTTATAATAATATTTAAAATCCATAATTTGAGTTCAATCATTTAAATATTTAATTATTGACCATTAAAATTGTAACATTAATAAAATTATGCTTAAAATAAATGTTTTATGATTTTGTCTTTAAATTCAGATAATTATATAATATTTATGAAACTAAACAAATATTAATATATTAAATCTATATTAAAAGATTAATGGTCATATATTATCAAATATAAAAAAATTTACATTGTCAACTTGGTATAATTTTTATGGTAATTAATTAATGTAGAAGTAACAAATTTATCATATATGATAATTTTTAATTAGAAGATAGTGTGAAACTATTTTTCACTTCTTTCTTTTTTTAATCTATAGGAATTAAACGCATATAGTGAGAATTTACAACACTCATGTGCCTTGTTCAACCAAATAAACTAAGACCTCCTTATCCTCTATCCATTTTCTTCTTCTTTAGACCAAAACTCCCATACATATTCTAAAAGTTTGCAATAAGGTAAGAGGGAAAAAAAAAACATAGAAGACCTAACTGTTTTCAACAATTTGAAAAGACATAGCTGATCGAGTCTTTAAAATTCTAATAAAAAGTATAGTTGTTGCTATTAGACCACCACACTAACTTCCTCCTGAATTGTTTTGTTGAATATAGTAGCTTTCTTACTATGTATGTTTCTTGCATTAGGAAAATGGAAGAGAAAGAGATCCAATTTTGGACCACTCTCAATTATCAATGACCTCACACCATATTATAAACATACATTCTAAAATACTACAAGTGTTAGATAAGAACACATTATATATTATGTCACCAACATAATATACATATTAAGCCATTTTCAGCGAATAAATGCTGTATATTGAATTTTACAGGTTTAACTATATTTATAATCTTTTAAATTCATGATAATTATTTTTTCCAAATTCAAAATTTATGATTTTAGTTCCTATAATTTAAAAAAAAAAAAAAATTAGTCTTTGATATATTTTTTCCCCTCAAACTTAAAAATGTATTTTTAGTCTTCAAACTATAAAAATTATTATTTGTTCTCTCAAATTTAAAAATTTTCATTTTAGTCCTTATAATTATAGAAAATATTATTTCAATTCTTCATGATCATTGATAACATAATTAATAATGATAGATTTTTTTTGGTAAATTAATGAAAAGTAAAAAACAAAGGAAAACGAGATTACAAACTTGACAAGGAATCAACTCCTAAGGTCATAAACACGAAACTAGGAGGACTCCTCCATTTCACCATATCAACCAAGTTTCGAGCACCCCAACAAGCAAGATTGTGTGCCACTGAGTTGCATTCTCGAGGAACCCAAGAAATCTCCACAACCCAATTCCAAGTCCTCATGTCCTTCACCCGCCAGATGATATCACGGTGCTTGTGTAAGTTGTCTTGAACCCGCCAGCTACCTCGCACAGCTTGAACTGCCCCTAAACAGTCTGACTCACACACGATATGCCTAAATCCCTCCTCCCAGCAAAGTAATAGTTAGTCTGATATGATATTTTCACTCATATAATAATAGTTAGTCTGATATGATATTTTCACTCATATATAATGATACTAATAAAAAAATTGTATAATAAATTAATTAATAAAATTTGAGCAGAGAGATTAAAATGATATTTTTTTTATATTTTAGGAGTTAAAAATATGTGTTTTAAATTCGAGAGATAAAAATATATATACATAGATTAAAACTATTTTTCCTTGAACTAGAATTAAAAAGATAAATTTTGAAATTGAATGAAAAAAAATATTTTTTAAAGACTAAAAACATAAGTTTAAATGTTAAAGATAAAATAAATATCTCAAATTTAAAAAGATTAAAAACATAATTAACCCAATTCTATAATAATTATCCTAAATTGTTCCTTCTATAATTTTTTATTAATTAATTATGTAAAAAATTGTTACATTAACGATGTTAAAAGATTATACTCTTTTACAATGTCTAATAGTGATTGATACAAGTTTTCTAAAGCCAAAACTTGCGCAAAAGGTAAATTCACATAAGGAAAACACCGATAATTGATACTAAACAAACAAACAAAAAAAAAAAGCAAAACAAAATCATTGCTGCAATCGAAACCTGAAATGTTTCATCGCAGCCACGTTGTACGGTTTATTCATAGATCAGAGAATGGGTACAATTATTTTCGTTTTTGTGCAAATATTAAACATTTTTTTTAGCAATGAAAAACGTGCAAAATGATGTTTATTTAATTTGTTCAACCATTATTTTCATTTTTGGTGAATTAGGACAATTCGTTCACTATCTGTGTTCATATTATTATCATGCATGCCAAGCCCATGGTGGGTCGTGTGCATAGTTGGACCCCACATGTCTTTGGATTATATTCTAAGTGAAACATTGCTTACATCTT